ATGCTTCAGTATCTCTGAATTTAACACCCTTTGTAACAAGGGACAATATACCCTTATCTTTTTTAACCCCCCTGGATGTAAAACACAAGGACACATTCACAGTTGGTGTTTGGTGCATTTTGTTTATAACAACAGCACAGTTTTAAGAGAAGTCTAATAAGCACACTTAGTTTGTTCAAGAAAATTTCAGAAGCTAAATAAAAATATTAACAAGATAAAACTACTACCATTTCTATAGCATCCATAGCCCATTATTCAGTCCTATTTTGCCTTGAAATAAAGGGTAGTTAAAATTCTAGAATTATTAAATATGTGAATGACTTGCAACATAAAATTGAGTTCTTTTTGCTATGACTAAAAATCATGTTTCAAAGAAGTTGTTCAAAATTAGTTATTTGAGACCAAGTAATTAGAGAATTATATAATTTATTGTTAGCGGAACTAGTGGGTCTAAAAAGACACCTCTTGACAGGATGAGGTTTATGTTTGAGTCTGAAGTTTAACCTTCATACTAAAGGCACTTTCTTATACATCTTGTATGCTCTATATTTCCGCATTGCCTTAGAGTATACAATATCCAGTGAAGAAGAGTTTCCTGTGTTCGTTGTCTGTGTCCATTTAAACCTTAATTTATGTAAAGACATGAGTTAGTATTGACAATTTCACCAAATGGAGAAATTAATGTGTAATATTACCTTAAATCTGTTTTATACATAGTTTATACATAGTTGAAGTGATTGAAATGATTGGGTTATATATAGTCTTTCAATAACTTAAAAGAATGGAACTTATCTTTAGAAAAGCTGCATCCTTACAATGCTAAAGCTACAACTATGCATTGCCAAGTGAATATGACAAATTATTTATTTGTTGTGTGAAGTGTTTGTTTTTTCTTAATTGCTCCTGAGTAATATCACTGTTGTAAACTGTTAAAAAGAAATTATATATTGGTTATTTCGCTATACATTTTGTATTCGAAGTTCTGAAAGGCCACATTTCTGGCACTTCTGGCACTTCAGAAGATCTTTTTACACTGGTTTCACCAGTAATTAAAAGAAATCGAATTTCCTGTATTTCTGTATTGTCCCATAATACATTTAAGTGCCCAAGGCACAATTACAAGTCCTAGAGCTCATTACAAATTCAAACAAATGCTTGTGGGCAGTCAACTTTGGAGTAGTTGTAACCTTATCATTCTATCCAATGTTGAAGTTGTATGGTAGGAAAAATCAAACTTGGTTCTGGAGGAATTTTGTTCATCAGTGTCTTAAGTAAATGTAAATCATGAGTAGTATCTGACCTATACAGAAGAATAAGGATTTTTCCTCAAGATCTGCTCCCTCAAGGACTATAGTTGGACCTTGGAGACCTCTTTTATAATACTTATACTCTTGTAAATAATGAATCAAAATGCATGTAAAAGAACAAAAGACTATTAAAAAATGTCCCATTGTTTTTTAGAAATCTGTATCGTGCTTAGAATGTCACATTTTTCGCATACAGTAAGTGAATCGTTTATCCTCTTGGAATAAGCCACATAATTTATATTGCCCAGGACTTATGAGTTTTGGATAATTATTATGAATGCATATCTCATGAAAAGTACTATCCATTTTTCAAAAATAATTTCTGACAATCACAGTGGGGGTGTAAGGGTCTGACTGCTAATTGTAGGTAACACTTTTAACTTTTCATTTGATAAGTGATGAAATCATGCTTTATCCGTTTCATACTTTGATTTGTTGAGGGTGACAAACAGCAGGGGTGTATCAATGTCAGGTTCTGTAGAGCTACAGTTTCTTCTAGAAATATTTTAATGACACCTAACTTCTTGTACGTGATGCTTTTTATGTATTTTTTAACACAGCATTGCTAGGTATTATATAGGTACGTCACATTACAAGAGCATCTTTCAAGTCATCAGTTCTAAATAAAAAACAGAATAGCCAAATGAAACGCTGAAACTTACC